TGACGGCCCTCTGGTGGGACGCTCTGCTAGGAACCTTCACCTGCCCCCAGATCATGTTGCTGGCTTGTCACTGCTTTTCAGTCAGCATATACGTTGCAGCATGCCTAACTGCACCCATTTCCTAAACAGAACCACTCCTGACTCCTACATCATCTGCTCCTCAACTGCCTCCATTACGAAAGCTCCCCTAGCCTCACCCTTTCCAAAATCTTCTTCCCTTCCGATGTCCTCCCACATCTGACCCATGTTTCTTCCAACTTCCCACCCCTCTTCTCCCTCAGATTCCTCCTATATGAACCGTAACATACATATGAGCCCTCCCACCTTATTCTGAGTCTAGTTTTTACTAAAAGGAAGGGTCTTAACTGCTCCTTCAATCCTGCTCATGGGCACTGCTGTTATTGCTACTTCCCTCTACCCTTTGTACATCAGGTAGCTAAAAAAAAACAAAAACAAAAAAACCCAAACCAGCAAAACCCATCCAAAACTAAACACACACACACACAAGAAATAGCCCAATGGAACTTCTAAAAGCAGAAACCTAAGGCACACCCAGGACAAAGGAGAAAAACTTTTGCAGGGATGCACTCTTTGTTTGCAGTTTTCCCTGACTCACCTTTTATTTTTCTCCTTTATCAACAGCTTGTTCTCTGTATTGATTGCTGTGTTCTTACAAGAGATCAAATTAAAGTAATTTTAAGACAGTTTTCTGTTCTTTAGTTTCTGGAAATGAAACAAAGATTTGTTAAGTTTTCTATAGGAGAGGCGAATACCTAATGCAGTACAAGTTATTTTGATTGCCCAAGATACTTACCAACAAATTGCTGATAGTAGGAGATGCTGTTCTCTAAAAAGCTACATACATTCAGCTTCTTGCCTTTTTTTCTTTTTTTTTTTTTTTTTTTCCTTTTAAAAAACCCACCTTAATTTATAACCTGTATCTGGAATGCAGTATCAGCAGCTTCAGCCTCCACACTGCAATAGGACATTCTCTGTGTCTACCCACTTCCCAAAGTGTTTTTTGGAGAAAACAGCAATCAGCTCCATGGGCAAATGTGTCATGTTATACTCATTTTGGTTTGGGAAGCAGCTCTTATACACAGGACCGTTAAGAAAAATATCCCAGCCCTTCAAATTCACCTTTTTCTGCAAGCAAGTGGCTCAGAGAGGGCCTATCATGTATCTTACGGCCAATATCCACATCATGGGACTTCAGCCCTCTGTGTGTGGGAAAAATATCTGTAAGAATATCTAGAGTAATTCATTGTAATCAGGAGGAAACAAAAAGACTAAACCCCTCTACAGCACCATTTCTTCCCATAGGTACACAGAGATTATACTCTAGTTTAGCAAGAAAGAGAACAAAAGAAAATAGTAGAGCTAAAAACCACCTGAATCACAGCTGTAGTCTCTCTCTTACCCCAGTTGTCTGGCTCCTCACTTAGCGCATCAGTTTAAGACCTGGCAGATATAGCATGAAAATGAATTCAGACCATTCAGAACCCATACATGTAAAAAACCAGATCAACCAGACATGCTCAATCCATGCAATATAATGAAAAAAACAGCACCCTAGAACTGTATTTCTTCACACTGAGATCAGAAAATGTAGTCTAAATTGCCAATTTTTTTCCAACAATCTAACTTTTCAAGGCTTAATATTTTAATAATAAATGACTAAGCATTATAAGGTTTTTTAAAAAGTGTTTTCACTTTAATGGGTTTAGTTAATAACATCATGAATGGTACAAAACTGTCCTTTTTCACATTTCCATACATTGTATTACGGACCACCTGAAAATCTGGACTAAGAACGCATAAAGTGTCTCTTAATTAGCCCTAGCTTCATTTTTGCCATATGTGGAGGAGATACACAGAAAAACATGCATTTGTTAACAATGACATGTTATTATTAGCTTAAACAATAAGATACGGCAGAATGTGCATTGCGTAATGCACAGGTATGTAATAGGGTAAGAGAGACCAAATGTCAAGTGTTGGCAACAAAATAAGAAATGGTTGATGACACACTGACATTTTGTGACCATAGTTTTAGCTTTTCTGTTTTAAAATTGTTTTAAATAGTAGTAAATATTTAAATAATATTTAAAATATATTTCCCTATGGAAGTCATTTACTTGGAAGACAGTCTGTAAGATTTGACTTTTTAAAAAGTAGTATTTCGACAATATATGAATACAATACATGTCATAGAACTTCACAGACCCTAAAGTCCTTAGCCATTTTCAGAAACAGTTTTTCAAGCCAATTTTGTCTCTGATTTTTTGCTAGCAAAACTTTGGAAGTAGCATCTCAAAGAAAACCTGCCTTTAAGAGAAATACTGTATTTCAATAAACCCAAACCCAATATAAACGGGGATGCCATACTAAAGGAAAATACAGTGGAATTAGAAACCAAATAATTCATCATGCAATTAGTTTAATTTCTGGTTTGCTAATTCATAGTCTAAGGAGGGGTTTGTTCCTTCCTAGTGCATCTTCTCTCGCAGTCAAATGAGTGCTCAATTTCCACTGCCAGATGTTAAGGGTTGAAGACCTCACTGTTACTTCAAGGAAAAAAAAAAAAAAGATTCAGCTGTGGGTGCAGAATTAATTCATTATCTAAAATGCAACAAAACAAAGCAAAGTATCTGTGCAAAAAAGTAATTTGTACATTGACTTTTTTTCTAAGTTTGCTTCAGTATAAAAAAACCTCTTCAATCCCACTAACAAAGCTTTATTTTGATTTATGATCCTTCAACACCCTTTAGAGTTCCATGTTTTTACTTATTCTAATTTGGTAAATTAATAATCCAGCCACCATTTTTGCAGCCCAAGACAAAGATGGAAGCTCCATTATATTAATCTTTAATAGTGTGGGGTAGTTACTTTTACTCAAGACAGGTTTTTCCTGTCTTCTACAGGCACAGTGCTTGTTTAACTGGCCTTGGGAATAAAACAGCCAAAAAAAAGCCAGGTCACCTTCTATGGCAGTGCAGAGCATCCTGGCCAGAGATATTTTTAAATGCTTGTTGCTAAAATTACCTTCTTTTTAAACAGGGACAAGCTACTCCAAAAGCCTCTCGTTTCTTTTTTCAGCTTCTAAGGACTTGGATTAAAACAAGTAGCTTCCTAAAGCTACTCCCAGATTCAAAAATCTAGAGTAAGCATACAGTAGCAGTATATAAATCATTTAGAAAGCAGAGACCTCTCTTGATTAGTTGCTTCATAGTCATATTAGGAAGCGACGTGTGAGACACAAAGTCTGACGAGTTCTTTACCATACCATCAAGGAGCCAACGTTATTGTTCCTTCAGTCTGCATCCTAATCATTTTTAAAACTACAGATTAGGAATTCCCAAACTGTGCTGTGGATATCACGGTGATGTGACAACTCTGCCTGGGCAAGTAAATACCTCTCATGAATCTACACACACTGCCAAGCACCCCCACCAATAAGGGAATACACTACTAAGTAAATTTTGGAAGCCCCACTATCAATTAAAGAGTATACCAGGCACATTTCTACTATATCACCAGTGTGCATATTTACATTAAAATCATTTCAGCCGATTCCTACAGCGTTGGTAACTTTGCTGTTTGGTTTCACCATATAAACTCTAGCTCCTACCAGATTCAACACAGTGCGACTGAAACAACAGCAACTCTTCAACCCCGTGCCTACCCTTCTTTTCACTCTGGAAACAAATTGGCTTCAAGATTGCTCCAACAATCTACACATTCTTCCTAAAGCCAAACCCATCTCGCTCACCTTGATTATAGTAGACATAGCAGTAGCACAATGCATCTATTAACGTTATAGTGACCTCCCTTTTTAAAGCAAAACCGTTACCAAGAGGCTTTAAAAAAGGCAAGGGCACATACCCACTTCTGTTCACCGTAGTCTGCATACAAATTGTAAAGGAGAATTATTGCTTTTAAAAGATGAAAAGCTTTGGAAATATGGTAAACATCCTACAAGGTTCTAAAACTAATCAGCTAAAATTCTGTACATACTTTAATATTCAAACCTCTATTTGATTACTCAAGATCAAATCATTTCATTTTCACATCTATTCATTAAACTCTTTATAGTTCTAAGGTCTAATGAATATTTAACAACTAAATAGGATCAAAACAGGTAACAGGAAAAAAGGTCACATGGCAATGAACATTATTTCATTTGGCCAATGAATAGTGAACCCTGCTTTCTTGGCTGAAATTAAGGCACTAAGTGGCAGTGAAAGGATAAAGGAATGAATTTTTTTTCTACATTATCTGAAAAAAGACCAACATGACTATTTTTTTAGGACGCCAGTAGAGTACATATCCATTCTGAATGACTCAGTAAGGCATTCTGTTGGCAAATTTAAAGAAAATGTTCTCCTGATTAGAGCCCATTACATTCATTGTCTGAGTGTGACTAGTGGCACTACTAACTGTTAACAAACTGGAGGGGAAAAAAAAGCTACAAAGATGTCTGAAGACTCGAAAGGCACCAAAAAGAGAACAGCTCTGCAACTGCCAGTTCTACAAGCAATTATGTAAGCTGTGTTTAACACTGCATATAGTCAATCATCAATCTTTGTTGACAAAGATAAAATGTAGTAGCTCTTCATTTAAACTCTCAGTTAATCAAGTGCTAGTTTAGTAAGAAATTTATTTTCATGTATCAGAAAATAATTGCAGTGTCTAACACAACTACACTTAAAGCAAAACTAGTCTAGTATGCATTATTCTGGTTAACACTGAAGCAAACCTGTATAAACAAAAGGGTTACCTCGAGATATATAGTTTACAATATGAAATCAACATATAAATGAATAGGATTTACTGAAAACAATGGAAAGTGTATTACAAAGATACATGAAACAATTTTAACCACAATATTTTCTCTGTGAAAAATACAACTATTAGTGAGATAAAATGTACAATTGAATTTTTTTTTTCCAAAAGAAAAAAAAAACACAGTATAAAGGAAAATATTTTTTTCTTCAAAACAGGGAAAATAGTTAAGGTCATTGTCTTTCATTACAATATAATTTGACACAAAAAGCAGTCATAGGATTGCACCAACTCCATGTTCAGTCTCCTGAACATGACAATAGTAAAAGGAGTCCATAAAGCATAATGACATTTCTGGATTTTATCATGGCAATATACGTATGCAGAAACTGATGTCACTCCGGCTCTGTTCACAAAATGTACAAAACTCTAAATTTGGTGGCTAGACATGTAAAAATTAGTTCACCCCAACATTGACTTTTCTGTTGCTTAGTCAGGGATGGAAAAATCTGTAGTATTAAGTGTTGTTATCTTTTTAGCAATAAAGAAAAAAAGTATGTGTAGTGCATGCTTTATCACTTGTCAAAAACATTTCTGAAAATAAAACTAAGTTATCCAATAGTTTACAAAATAGAAAATAATTCTTCAGGTTAAAAATGTGGTTAGGTTTATGTTTAGTTCCATCTCCAAAGGACCGATTTCCTTGGCAGCATCATTTTCCTTAGCAAGAGCCAAGGCACAGAGTTCCATAAAAAGAAATAAAAATGGCTACGAAGAAGAACGCAGTCTGGCATTGTAAAAGAAATCAGAGCCTCTCTCTGAGCTTTCTGTTCCATCAGGTTAGTGCCGTAGAAGAATGCGAGATTTGGGATACGTTTTTGTTATGAGCATTTCTGCTGGACACGATTCAAAAGTTCGCCAAACTTTTCAAAAAGATCCTCCACCCATTTTATATTTTTCATGCACAGCTGCACAATCTCTTCCTGTCCTAGATCTGCACTCTTCTTCTGAACAGAGGAAATCTATTTAAAAAAAGAAGGGAGGGCGAGAGAGATAGAGAGATGCATACACACATACATGTTAGGCTGCCAGCATATCAGAATTTTTGTTTTTATAATATTCTGTGCTTAAATATGAACCTTCTTTGGAAGAAAACCTTTAAGCTTTAAAAACAGGAGAAAATGCCCCCAAAAATGCACTTCTTAACAACTGAGGCAGCGCTCAACTCTCATATTTCTGCCACGTGGAATATTTCCACCAAGGATTTGCAGAAAAAATAAAGCAGCAAGCATTCTAAGACAAAAAGCAGCTCCTAGATCAGAGGAGTTACACACACTGATAAAATTTGTTGTGTTTATTTTGGATAACAGTGAAGAATGCGTACCTATCCTGAGGGAAACTAATTTCACACAAACTCTGTAAGCCTCATATCTGCATATTCTGGGCAGTAGTGCATGTTAGGGGCAACATATGTGCTCAGCACATCCTTTTCTTTGCCATAAAGAATTAATTATAATAGGAGGCCACAATCCATAGTCATTTACCAAGAAGGAGGGAACAGTCCCTCTAGTTGGACTCAATTCCCTCAATACATTCCCTCAATGAATGTAAAAGTATCTCAAAGAGAACAATACTTACCTCTTCTTTACATGTTAGATATATGTGATATTTGTAATGATGGAGTGAGTGATACAAAGAATACAACTGTATTTTTTCTGGATCTACTGTAAACTCCTGCAAAAAGAACAGTTATTTTAGGTTATTTTCCAAGACAGAGATATGATAGGCATTTTCTTCTGTAAACAAATTTGTTTTCAGCAATTTAGAAATAGAGTATTTCATTCAAATAATTGCTTCGACTTATCTTGGTACGCTGTAATATATATTACATCACAATTATCTCCTATCTCCACTTTCCCTCCTAA